GGTTTTTCCCCCTGACACCGAACAATTCTCCAACACCAGTTATCCTATAATTCAACTCAACGCTGACACTATCTACCTGGAGACAGCATCAGATCCCACAGAGGAAGGGCTGAGTCCTGCAAGACTGCCCCCTGCACACACTGCAGGTGTCACTTGCAAGTCCAGGTTGTCACATATTTCTGATCTACTGGCTATAAATCAGAGGTTCCCATGTGCTCCCCTCCTTGGGTTCAATTAATTTGCTAGAATGACTCATGGAACTTGGAGATATATTTTACTTACTAGATGCTGGTTTGTCATAAAAGGATATAACTCAGGAATAATCACACAGAACAGAGGCACAGGGCAGGGATGGAGAGGATGCAGAGCTTCCCTGCTCTCTCCAGGCACGCCACTCTCTTCAAATCTCCGTTTTCACCAACTTAGAAGCTTTCTGCACCCCATCCTTTTGGGCTTTTAGGAGGCATTATTACACAAGCATGATTGATTACATTATTGGTCAGAGGTGATTAAAATTCAATCTTCAGGCCCTCTGCCCTCCTAGATGGTTGAGGGGTGGGACTGACAGTTCCAACCCTCTAATCACAAGGTTGGTTCCCCTGGCAAACAGCCCCCATCCTCAGAGATCCAAGGACTTTCCCAAAAAATACCTCATTAACATAACAAAAAGGCTTTAATCAACACTTTTATGGCTCTCAACACTTAGGAAATTTTGACTGCTTTAGGAGCTCTGTGCTAGGAACAGAAGACCAAATATATATTTCTTATTATAAATCACAATACTATATCTACTTTTTCTCAATTCTCCGCTCCCCTACTGGTGCTCCTGCACCTCCCAAATCAGTGACTTCCGCCTCTTGGAGAAGCAATCCAAACCAAGACATCTGCCCAGCAGCCACTTCATATACATTAATTCATGAGCCTACTTAGACACAGAAAACTAAGACCATCCCCTCAGGGTTAAAAGTGAGTGAAACACTGACTGGAGCAGACAAATGAAATGTCATCTTTAAGAGAAAGGAGGCTTCCAGCCCCCACTGCTATGAGGTCAGAGAACAGCTTGAAGTATTTGCCATCTGAGTACTGAAACTCACAAAAAGAGGGGTAAGCATAGGTGGTGCTGGTAGGAGAGAGCTCTGCTCATGAACTCAGTGTCTGGTCCCCACCAGGGACACTTCTCTTCCTGGAAACACAGGGCCTTCAGCCCGGTCAGCTCCATAGCCCATTGGCTGCAGGGATCATGCAATCACTGCCTCTCCTTGTTCTGACCCACGGGGCTTATCTGGGGCTCCCTCTCACCTGCTCACAGAGAACATGCTTGTCTTGCAAAGGGGCATACGCTAGTGCCTGGAAAGCTGGTTCTGGCTGTAGATAACAAACTGACACCTTTCTCAAAAGTACAGCCTTGACTAATTCTCAGAGCTCAGGAGAGAGCCACCCTCCAGACAGTGGTGAGTTCCTTGAAGTGGTATTGCCTTATAAGGCCTCTTGGAGCCCCATCTTCAAGGTTCCTTTGGCAGCAGGTGACAAACCTGATTCATACAAATGTCAGTTTAAAGGGGAGGTATTGTCACTTGAGACTTTCTCCTAAAGTCTTGGGGCAGGGCCTTAGCAAGACTTGGGGATGATGGTGATCAAGAGCCCTGGCTCTCTTGCTTTGTAACAGACGGCCATGAACCCTGGTGGCTTAACAGGGCAACAATCATTTATTTTGCTCACAAATCTGCTATTTGGGCAGATAAGGAAGCCTCATTTCTGCCCCCGTGCCACCCCGGCCCCAGGTAGCCCAACCCAGGACCAGAGGGTCCATTTCCAAGGCCATCCACTCAAAGGACTTCTGGCTGCCAGGGTACCCCTCCACACAGGCCTGCCCATGTGGCCTGGGCTACTTACAGCACGAGTACCAAGAAAACCTGGCAGAGGCTGTATTTCAGAAGTTACACACTCACAGGAGCCTGCCTGAGTGGAGGGCAGTGTAGCAAGCAAGGTTCCAGACAAGATGTGGGACTAAAATACTTTTGTGGGCATTTTTGGAAAACATAATCTGTCACAATGAGGAAGAAAAACTACCTGGAATCTAGGGATCCGCTCTCCACAGCTTGTGAGTGTGTATGTGTAAGTATGAGAGGGGTGTGTGTGTGTGTGTGTATAAACTAGCTCACACTGTTTCCCTCTCTCTCTGGCGACATAGTTCTCCACATCTCCTTAATTTATTCTCTGCTCAAGGCCACACCTCAGCTCCTAAGCATATGGGCAGTTCTTCCTGCCTTCCCAGAATCTTCCCAAACTCAGGGCCTCAAGTGACCCAGAAATATAGCCCCAGTTCACTCTGGTCCAGCAGCAGCTCATTCGATTCTGCTAAGACAGGGGGAGAAAAACCACACGTTTGTTTTTGGTGACAATACACTGTGGGCACAACTGCCCAGCCTCTGCTGTAAATTGCCTGGTGAAGTGAAGCAGCCTCCCATAGTGAACAAATGCTGTTAGATCCTGCACCAAAGAGCTACGCTGGTGATGGGGAAAAGCTCAATCCTGTGTTTGCGGACCTACACGTCCATAAGTCTGTCTTCAGAGCTAACAGAGGCTCAGCCTGGGTGACCAGATGTGCCCCAAGTTTAAAAGCCTGCTGTTGGGAGGAATTGTTGGCCAATAAGGAAGTTGCTGCCAATGCAAAACATCAAGACTAAAGTCTTCTGGATGTTTCCTTTGTGCTTGGCCTGTGTTAAGCACTTACCAGGCCTTGTTTCATTTGTTCCTCATATCAACCCGAGGAAAGGAATATTGTTACTGTTCCGCTTCTACTGACGAGGGAGCTGAGCCTCTGGGAGGTTAACTCACCTGCCACTATCACTCTGCTAGTGAATGGCTATTAGAGAGGACTCATCGTAACTAGAATGTTGTGGAGCAATGACTTGAACCCCAACCTGCCTGTTCATTCAAACAGTACTGACTGAGACCTTGTTGGGGGTCAGGCACAATTCTAGATGCTGGAGACAAACCTGGAAGGTTCCTGCCCTCCCACCCTACGGTTGCTGGTGCTGGCTCTACTCCCTCTCAGGGCTAAAGCCCTGTGGTTTTTACAAGGCTTTGGAGCTGGACTTGTGTTCTCCTAACCTGCTTTTCTACTTTTGAAGCAGCTTTGTGGAACTAAACGTCTTTCAGCCTCCTCATCTATAAAATCAGAAATAACAATACCTCTCCCAAAGTTACAAGAATGAAACAAAAAATACTTACATGGGAAACATGATGAGACGTGAAGCATCACAGCCTCCAACCTACCACACAGGTAGCAAGTCAACCCTCATTCCATTGATGTGATGATTTGGATTTTTGTACATTAAATCCTAATTTCACTGTCCCAGGCTTTATAAAGACATGTCTGTGTGAATACGGTTCCAAAGATGCTATTTCACCCTCTCTAGTCAGCCCCACCTTATTTTATTATAGTCCAAATTCTTCACCTACTTGATTTAAGTGGAGGAGGTGGTTTGCCTACATGAAATAGCCCATCCAGTTTCTAAATGTGTCATGAAATCTGAGAGCAAGGGTTCTCAGGAATGCAAGCAAAGGTACGCCAAAGAGTAGCCAAGATGGTGTAAGTTAAATGCACTATACTCCAAAGATATGGCAACATCAGTAAATTCATCATGCTTAGAGGGCTCCCAGTTTTGAAGGAATTACTCAGTCTCTCAGACCAGTGGATGGAGTTGAGGATCTTGTATCTGAAGAAAGGTTTTTTGTTTTTTGTTTTTTTTAACTTTAAACTGTTTCCCAAGCCCCACACTAACCGTTTCCATCCTGTTGAGTCTATCGTTTTAAAGAAAAGTTCGGGTTCCAGATTTGCTGAAATGCAGCTAGTTTCAGGACTGGAGAATAAAAGCACATACCACCTAGGCCACAGCTGGAGCCTCGGAGCTCCTCAATTCCCAGGACGAGAGAGGAAGCTGCCTGTTTCCTTTTCTGACACACTTCGGTTGCTTCCCAAACTTAGACTCCTCCCACCCTGGGCTCCTCTCTTGCTTCCAATTGAGTTTCTCACTTAACTAAAATGGGTTTTCTTCCATGTGTCCTTTAGGATGTCAACTCCTAAGTCCGGAGGGACTTAAACTATCCAGGAGAGTAACCTGCTAAGATACTTCATCAGGCAGAGTTAACAAGGGCCCTGCCGGCTTCACCTGCTCAGCCGCCGCGGGACATTCTGGCGCCCCACGTCTGTGTGAAAACCTTAGTTGGGTCACTGCTGCTGGTGGTGGTTTCCCGAGGTTGCATCAAGTCGTCTTTTAACTAGAATTTTAACTAGAATTACCCCAACTGCGGGTGAAAGGAGGTCGTAGGGCAAGGATCTCATCCCGCCTCCCACACTTTGCCCATCCTCTACCGTCAAGCGGGCCTCCACTCAGCTGGGAGAGATTCGCGCGTCTCTAGCTCCGGGGGCGGGACCTAGGAGATTTCATCCAATCAAGAATCGCACATGACCAGTTGGACTGGTTTCTATGACCGGTTAAACCAATGAAAACTCGACCGCTGATTTTTCCTGCGGTCTTCTGGGAAAGTGCCTCTCCCGGAAGCCACCTCCTCTCTTGAGCCACAACTGGGCGGAGCTAGCCTCCCGGTCTTCCGTCCCGCTGGCTGGCACAGCTGCCCGTCATGGGAGGCGGGCGTGGGTGGAGCCGTGGGCTCTGGCGTCTGCGCAGCGCATGGTGGGCCGCGCGCGGGAAGCCGCGGATAGCGCCGACAGTTTTCCGGGCTCAGGAATCTCCGCGACCCGGCGGATCCGGGAGGAAGGGTGGGAGAAGGGCGGCTCTTCCGGTTCCTCCTGAGGCGAGCGGCGGAGGAGCGCGGATCCTAGGCAGGCCCGCCCCGCGACCTTTGGGGGCCGGCACTCCGTGGAGCTGGGGGTCGCGCGGGGGGCGGGTGCCGCCGCCCACGGTGACCGGGAGACGCCCGCGCGAGCCGAGGGCCTCGCCCAGCTAACCAGGGTCGCCCGCGCTGACTCGAGCCGCCCACGTTGGCGGAGGTCGCCGACCCCCGCCTACCGGGGTTACCGCCCCCCCGCTGACCGTGGACACCACCTCCGCCCGCGCTGACCCCGGACGTCACCAGCCGCGAAGGTAGGTGTCCCCCACCGTCCCCCGCGGCCGGCAGTCTGAAGACCCCAGGGCCGGCCCAGGGACTTGGAGACATCTGCCACGTGTACCCCCACGCTCTCTCCCCATTGTCAGGAATCAGCCGGGTTTTGTCTTTTCCCTCGTGGTGTCGTTGCAGTGCTGCTTCAGGTTTTTGCCCTTGCGACGTGCTTGGCAATAAATCCTCTTGGCGATGAAGAGTGGGGGCTCTGGAGGTCTCGACCCAGAGATGGCCAGGGCGGGCTGGCTTTGTTTTTTGCGTGGATGAAAAGCGACTCACCGCCAGAAATGAGGCCTGTTGCATCTTCTCTGGTCCAGCTCCAGAGAACCTGATGGTGTGGGCTTCCGAGAGAAGGCGGCATGTTCACAGCCTCATGCTTATCTCGCTTTTCATGATTCTTATCCCTGATTAAGTATAGAAGGGCAAGCTTTCAGCCTGGTAGGTAGCAGAACCACAAGACAAGGAGGTGTTTATCCTACTGGTATGGGACCAGGACAGGTTGCTAAGGTGTGTTTGGAAAGTCGCTTTGGCAGAACTGAGCAGGGGTGGTGGAGGGGGTGTTTCTGAGAATGACTTGAGATGGTGGAGGGACTGGGGCACTTGAGGGTGAGGAGTAATGTGGGTGTCGGGTGGTCAGGAATTCCAGCAAGAGAAAAATTGAGGCCGCTGAAAGGACAACTTCAGACTAGCAGTTCTGGAATGGTGCTCTTAGAGACTTGATTTCTTAAGTGCAGGTAAAGGACAAGTGAAGGCTGAAGATAAGCAGGTAAAGGATAGTTAAGCAAAAGGACAACATAGTCCTGACATTTTTCAAAGGCCAGGTGCCTTCTCATAAAGCTACATCAGGAGTGTGCCAGGACCTAGATCCAACCCCTAAGTTTCTCCCTTCTCCTTTGTAAAATTGTTTTATCCTTTTGTGGTGACCATTAATGAGGTGTGATGTATGTAAAGTAAGCAGCAGATACCCAGTTCAGAATCTCTGTCTGTGCCTGGTCCTGTCACTGCTTACTTCTAGGACCAAGCTCCTTACCTGCTCTTTATGGTTCTTTACTAGAGGCAGTGGCCTCCACCTTGCTCAGTCCTTAGGAGTACTTGACTCTTTCCCAACTCTATGTGAGATCTTTTATCTATTTCATGACATGATATTAAAAAAAAGTTAATGTCTTAGAAATAAAAAAGTTTAAGTTTGTATATTTAAACATATCCATTATTTTAGTAATGTTCTCTCATGAACTTTTTTCTTTTAGTGAAATATTTTTTAAACATTTTTAAAGATTTATTTATTACAGAGAAAGGGCACGAGCACGGGGAAGGGGTAGAGGGAGAAGCAGACTCCCTGCTGAGCAGGGAGCCCATTGAAGGTCTGGAGCAGAGTGACCCAAGCTGAAGGCAGATGCTTAATCAACTGAGCCACCCAGGTGCCCCACTTTTAGTGAAATATTTTAATGACGCAGAAGAGAGCAGAGAACTGTAACAGTTATACCGTACTCTGAGACAAACAAATAATAATATTTCTTTATGCTTTTGGACTTCCTTTTTTTTTAATGGAAGGTGACATTTCAGCTATAGTTGAGATTCTTTTTTTGATGCCACCACCCCAACCTTCTATCCCATAGAACTTGCTTGATTTTTTTTTTTTTTTTTTTTTTTAAGATTTGCATTTATTTGTTGGGGGCGGAGGGGCAGAGAGAGAGGGAAAAGCCAACTCTGCGCTGAGCTCAGAGCCAGATGGGAGCCTGGATCTCACAACCCTGAGATCATGACCTGAGCTGAAATAAGAGTTGGATGCTTAATAGACTGAGCCACCCAGGTGCTCCAGAACTTGCCTTTCCATTTTTAACTTGTCTTTCATTTTGGCTCACAGGATTTGCCTGGTAGGTATTTGTGCTCACAGAAGCTAGGTGCCCTCCCTTCTTATTCCCAGTCAGCTGCCAGGTTTGCTTGTCATGAGGTTTGTGACCACTATTTTGGTACTGTCCTAGTGACAGTAGTGACATTTGCTTTCTTAGCCTCTTAAGAAATCTGCTTTCTCTTTGCTCTCCCAGTATCTGTTGGGTGAGCTCATGATAGGTTTTCTCAGACTCGCCACCAGCTGAGGATCATATGCCATCTGATTGGTCTTTATTGGGCCACTGTTGCCTTTGTTGTCTGTTTCTCCACTTCTCTAGGGGCAGTCACACCTGGTCCATGCTTCCAGGAAAAAGTGACCTTCCATAGTCAAATGTACTGTCTTTTACAAAATGAGATTTTTAAATTTGTAGTAATAGCTACCGTATTTTTGAACATGTAGGTATCAGGCTTTTTAATTAAGCACTTGGTGGACACTGTCTTGTTTAAGTCTCACATTACAACTATGTCATGAATGGTGATATTTCCATTTTAAAATGAGCAAACTGGGGCACCTGGGTGGCTCAGTGGGTTAAAGCCTCTGCCTTCAGCTCAGGTCATGATCTCAGGGTCCTGGGATCCAGCCCCGCATCGGGCTCTCTGCTCAGCAGGGAGCCTGCTTCCTCCTCTCTCCCTGCCTGCCTCTCTGCCTACTTGTGATCTCTGCCTGTCAAATAAATAAATAAAATCTTAAAAAAAAATAAATAAATAAAATGAGCAAACTGAGGCTTAGTAAGATTAGGTGTCAACAAAATTTGAGCCTAGAGTCATCTCCCTACAGTATGTAATTGTTTTGCTACCAGTAGAAAAGGAGAATTATTCCACTGTTGGGGCAGAACAAACTAGGGCATTCACATGGGTTCTCTTCAACCTTCCTGCTTCGCAGCCTCCACTCCCTCAGGCGCACGAGCACCTGGGCCTCCTTCATCAGGGGCGGAGATGGCATCAGTGGACTTCAAGACCTACGTGGATCAGGCCTGCAGAGCTGCTGAGGAGTTTGTGAATGTGTACTACACCACCATGGACAAACGACGGCGCCTGCTGTCCCGCCTGTACATGGGCACGGCCACCCTGGTGTGGAACGGAAACGCTGTGTCAGGACAAGAGTCCTTGAGTGAGTTTTTTGAAATGTTACCTTCCAGTGAGTTCCAAATCAACGTGGTAGACTGCCAGCCTGTCCATGATGAAGCCACCCCGAGCCAGACCACAGTCCTTGTTGTGATCTGTGGAACAGTGAAGTTTGAAGGCAACAAACAACGGGATTTTAACCAAAACTTCATTCTGACTGCCCAGGCCTCACCCAGCAACACGGTGTGGAAGATAGCAAGTGACTGCTTCCGGTTCCAAGACTGGGCCAGCTAGTAGGGCCAGGAAAGGCCTCTGTTGTAGCCCACCTCTGTAGGGAAATGCACATCTCAAAACGTGGGGACACAAGTTCCTTTCTCCTATTCCAGGCCACACTGCCCTGGCTTAACTCTGCAATTGCTGGAGTCCTGTGAGCCCCTTTCTGAGTGTATTCTTGTTTGTCATAGATGCCTTTTCAAAGTAGTCAGCTTTTCTATTTTTCTACTTGTCCGGTAGAGACCCTGGTTCTGGAAATTCTGACAAATAAAATAGTACAAATGTTGCTTCTTTTCCATTCCTTGATGTGTTTGTCCAGATTTTGAGGGAGGCAGAGTCAAAGGAGGGTTAAAGGCAGAAGCTTAATAGAAAGCACCTGAAATGAAATTCTTCAGGAAAATACTAAAAAGTTAGTTAATAACTGCTTATAAATGAAGCAGCTGTATTAACTACTCTTGTAAAGAGATGGTGAGGAACTGCTTTTAAGAGGAAGCTGATTTTATGGATCCTGAAGATCGACTCTAATTCTGTTTTCCCACTGTAAAAAAAGAACAGAACTAGAAGGTTCTATCATCCTTTGACCAATAAATGAGATCTCATGGCCATGTGGCTTCCCCAGTTACATTTTCTTTAATAAGAGTGCTAGGTTTGAGATAGGTTTATGGGCCAGGATATTGGAATGGGAATTTCTGAGAAGGAGAATACTGATGTGTAATGGAGGCACAGATGGCAGTTTCCTCCTCATGCCCCTCTCCTTATCTAATTTCTGAAGCCCAATAGTGAGCGGGACAAAGTACCCACCAAAAAGAGGGTTTGATATAATGACTTAAGTTCTGCCCAATGATGGAGAATTGTGGGAATTTTCTTGTTTGTAGACCCTTCCGTCCTCTGTCCTGCTTCCTAGAGAGCAGTTACGATGGCCTGACCACTGGCTCTGGCTCATTCTGGGTTGTGGAGGCAGCTGTACCCTAGAAGTAGGGTTGTGTTAAGTTGGAAGGAAACTGGATCCTTGATAACTATGTGGAAACATCCAAATGGACCTAGTTCACCTACCCTTAGATTTCTTTTTAAATGAGAGAGATTTTATCTGTAAGACATTATTGGTTTGGGGCATGTCTCACCAGCCATAGCAAAACCTAATCCCAAGTGAGGAAAAAGATTTGCAACAGGGGAAGACAGTGAGTGTGTTGTAGGGGAATAGTTCTGCATAGTGTCCTGGAGAACTAGACTAGTCCCAGGTGCCCTCAGGAATTCAGTTCACAGTCTAATTGGGAGGCAAGACATTAAAATGGTAAATAAATTTAGTTTCAAAGCCACATATGAATAGCATTCAAATCACTCCTATAGAGATACATGCCTAGCAAGCAGAGACAAGCAGTTCAGCTGAGATGCTGGTGAAATACTTGCAAGATTGGAAGTGAGGTCCCAAATCACTATGTGGAATTGTCAGACCCTGGAGCTCTGTCCCATAGGGAGGAGAGTGGAGTGGGCTGGGAGGATTAGTGCAGAGACTGATGTGGTGGAGATGCTGGCCTTCAGAGCTGAAAACCCTTGTCCTTAAGGGGTGAAGTAGGATGCCACCTGTCACCTCAGCCTTGGATAAAGGGTGCGAGTCCCATCAGGCCATCAGAGAGCTTGACATGAAATCTCAAGTCTGAATCACATTGGCCTGAAAAGCTTTAAGACAGCAGCTGTGGGTGTTGCCGTGGGACAACAGGTTTGGGAAATTAAAAGTCTAGACGGCATTCTGAAGAGCACCAGGGCACCTCTGGTGGGCTCCCATTCTCCCCTCCAGGAACAACAGAGAGCGGGTTTAGTTGGGAAAGCATTCAGATGAAAGACCACCCTTCCCTAGACGACACAGTTAGTGTGCCCTGAGACCCGATAAGGACAGTGAGGTGTATGAGGAAGGGTTATGAGACACTTCAGGGAAGTGTCCTTGAAAGACTGGGGCAGCCAATCTTTCTTTTCCTCCCACCCAATCTTCCTCTACCCTGTCATTTGGAAAGCAGGTATGACAGTTGATGTACTAGAAACTCTGTTGGGCTATGAGGCTTATTTGGCCATATGTAAGTGGGAGGAATGGGAAGCAGGTCTTGGGGTCCCTGTCAACCTCATGGAGTCCCTCACCAGTCTTGGATGACCTCCCTTGGCTCTCGGGCAACAAGAAATGCACTTTCATCTTCTTGAAGCCACTGTTGTTTGACTTAGACACGTAGCCAAATGTACTCATCAGTAACAAACTGGAGAAAAGTACGTACAACAAAGGACAGATGTAGTATTTCTTTACTATACGAAGAACTCTCAAGTCAGAGAAAAAAATCAATTAAAAAAAAACAGCACAAGAAAAAGACAGGCAAAATATATATATGGAAGGGCAATGGGAGGGAGGGAGGAAGGAAGATGCATAAACTAACAATTTCTATCCCCCTCCCTGTTTAGCGACCACTTCAGTGATGGCAGGAGTTAACCATCTCCCATCTAGTCAGACTGGCAACAGCCAGAAAACCCCAGACCCCATTGCTAGCCAACATGGACCATCAGGGTGTGAGTGTCGATTTCTTCATAAGATGGGAGAGTGAGGGTGAAGAGAGTGAGGGGGAGGGGAGTTAAGCATTTTGGGAAGAGATTTCCTGAGAGGAAATTGTCCCCCCACCCCAGCTCCAAGGGCCCTCATCAGGGAAGTGTGCTAGGGTGCCACTTCCCTTGCCTCTAGCCCAGGGAGAAAGGACTTCAAAAAGGTCTGGCTAGCTTGACATGGATAGTCAGGGGTCTATGAGACCCTACTGGACACAGCCTGAAGCAACTAGAGGCCGGTGCTGTGGCATCCACCTGGGATGGCTGGGTTAGGTAGGCCTTTGCTGCCATGTTGGGAAGGGTCTTAACTTCCCTCTGACATGGAACAAAAAAGTCTGAACCCTGGGGTTCAGTACTGAGGGGACAGTGTAGGAGGAGGGGCAGCAGCTACTGCACTGGGGTGAGCCTGTACACAGGAGCAAGCCTGGGTCAGTTTTCCAAGCCGAGACAAGGGCCTGAGCAGGGAGCGCAGGCTGGGTGGCATTTGGGAAAGGCTGACAGGAATGTGGAGGTGGCCCTTAGGGTTCCTCAGAGTCGCTAGGGAGGCATGAGCCCCCAGAACAAGAAGTCTGTTTTCCAAGGCCAGAACACCTCAGTGATGTGGGGGGCCTCAGAAAAGCCGTTCGAGTACCCTCAGAGAGGAAAAAAAATAACAAGTTCAGAGAGCACAAACTCCTCTTACCAGAACATTCACCTCCAAAGGCTCATGCTTGAGAAACCCAGGAGTGACAGAGGTGCGTGCAAGTGGCCAGAGGGGGACCTCTGCCTCCTCCAAGATGGTGGCTGACCCAGCTGAGGGAAGGGACAAGGCACAGAGCCTTCTACTCACACTTGAGGCTTTGGGGAGGGAGGTGGAATTGAGGTGAATGCAGGACTGTTTCATCTAAGAGTGAGAATACAGTGTCATCAGGGTAATGGCGAAGGTGTCCCCACCAAAGGGACCATGTATGGCAGCATGAACTGTGCTCTGGCCCCATCCCACAAATAGTCCCCTTAGACATTTTTGCTCTGTGGGTCTTAGCCAGATAGACTGATCACCCAGTTTGCCCAGGACAGTGTTCCTGGAGGTGGGCTTTCAGTGCTAAGATAAATAAAGTCCTAGAAATACTAGGACTAATTGGTCATCCTGCTCTTAGCCCAATTACTGCAGACCAGTAAACTCTAAATCGCCTGTGATCCTTGGAAACAGGGAAGAGGGGGAGTGGTGGGAGCTGCGGCCTCCAGTGCTGAGAATAGGGGGTCATCAGGCTTTCCAACAGAGACCTCATGGGCAGGCATGTCCCACCAGCCACCTGGGACTCCTGAGCACCTGAAATGTGACTCATAAGACTGAGGAACTGGGTTTTTATTTTATTTTAATTAATTTAAATCTGAATAGCTACATGCGGTTGGTTCCATCTGTATTGGATGGTACAGTGGAAGCAGAATTGCTGGTCTAGAGACATTCCCAGGTAGCTGGGAAATCCTGAAATGAGGAAAGAATGTCACCACCACTGGGGCCTAAGTGTTCAGAGGGTACAGGGAGCTCCTTAACTGGAATATGTCTCAGAACCAGACAGGGTTCCACGGTCCTTGTTGGGCACAGGACAGGAAATGCGGAAACCGCACTTCATCTAATGAGAGAACTTCTCCTGCCCATCAAGGTTCCATGGAGGCAAGGCAGGATAGACCTCAGCAACCTGCCTGTGCTCTGCCGCTGTCCTTCTTTAGTTGTCACCTCCCAGCTGGGAGAGGGAGATGAGTTAGGTGATAGTCGGCTTCTTTTCACTGACTGGCACAAAGTGATTAAGGCAATCCAGTTCCAGAATATTCTTTCTCCTGACAGGGTCCAGTGGGAGTGGAAAGGCTAGAGTATGTGCCTGACTCTTCTGCTCTAGCCTGAGGATGAGCTATTTCCCTAAGGAATGCCTTGCGTACGTGTGAACTGCTGTGCATGTGGGGGCCGGCTGCCATGGATGAGCCTTCCCCCAACACTCCTCCAACCACCCCCCACCGCCAATCCCAGCTGCACTAACTTGGCAACATTGCCATTGAATTTTTATATTTCAGGATTTCATAACTAGGTCCTTTTATAGGGCAAGGGAAAAAATAGCTTACAGAAAACTGCCAATTACTCAGCAGATAGACTGCTCATGTGCAAGGTGTAAACCTCAGTAGAGAACAGGGCTTCAGCAGCCCTGTGCACAACCGCAAGGGAAGTGAGGCCTGCCTCCACACTACAGATCATGTGGAGGGCGCCCCCCTGTGGAGGGCGAGCCCTTTCCACCCCCGGCAGCTCCCTGAAACCTATCTGTGGGTGGTGACCAGGTGAGTGGTTTCAAAACAAAGGTGGACAGCACTCAAACTTCACTGTCCCATAGATCACAATGAAGACACTCATCTGGCCATCTGTTTCTGGGGGCTTCATGGGCTGGCACTGGACTGTGCTGACGTGGAATGACCAGGAAGGCCCAGAGCTGAAAAACTCACCCTGAGACTTCTGTCTAGACATGGGATATCCATCCCACATCAGTGTGGCGTCCTCCACCAATGGCCAGCTGGTCCCTCTCTTCATCCATGCTGGTATAGTCAACATCAACACTTGGTGGTAGTCGAGCACACCAGCTCATGACATTTCTTTCCTTTTTTTTTTTTCTTTTGCTCATGACATTTCTTGAAATACAATGAAGAGGCCATAATCTTGGACACTGAACAAGGCGACCACAGAAG